GGTCCTTCCGCCGGAGTAATTACAGGTTGTCGATGACCCGCTCGGATTGCCAACGTGAAGTGCGGGACCCATAGGGAGGGGGCTGCCGCCTGAGAGTTCCTCACAATGCACTCACAGACGAGGCTCCCGCTTGATATTTCCATCACATTCAATCGCGAGGAGCCCAAAAGTGACGACAGTTACAGGTTGCCGATGACCCGCTCGGATTGCCAACGTGAAGTGCGGGAGGGAGGGGGCTCCCGCCTGGGACTTCCTCGCAATTCACTCGCAGACGAGGTTCCCGCTTGACATGTCCTGCAAATTCAAGCCGGAGGAGCCCAAAAGTGGTGACAATTACGGGTTGCCGATGACACGTTCGGATAGCAAACGTGAAGTGCTGGACCCATAGGGAGGGGGCTCCCGCCTGAGATTTCCCCACAATTCACTCACAGACGGGGCTCCCGCTTGATACTTCTTGCAAAGTCAGGAGACCAGAGGAGCCAAAACGTGACGACAGTTACAGGTTGCCGATGACCCGCTCGGATTACCAACGTGAAGAGCGGGACCCATAGGGAGGGGGCTCCCGCCTGAGACTTCCTCACAATTCACTCACAGACGAGGCTCCCGCTTCACATTTCCTCCAAATTCAGGCCTGAGGAGGCCAAAAGTGCAGACAGTTACAGGTTGCCGATGACCCGCTCGGATTAGCAACGTGAAGTGCGGGGACCCATTGGGAGGGGCTCCCGCCTGGGACTTCCTCGGGTGACATACGCGAGTGACGGCGATGAGAGAGTGAGTGAGTGAGTGAGTGAGTGAGTGGGTGGATGGGTGGGTGGGTTGGTGGGTGAATGATGATGATGATGATGATGATGATGATGATGATGATGATGATGATGATGACGATGATGATGATGATGATGATGATGATGATGATGATGATGATGATGATGATGGTGATGAGTGGTGATGAGTGCGATGATGGTGATGATGATCATGGGGGTGGTGATGATGAGGATGAGGATGAGGATGAGGATGAGGATGATGAGGATGATGATGATGATGATGCTGATGATGATGATGATGATGGTGATGAGTGGTGATGAGTGCGATAATGATGATGATGATGATGATGATGATGATGATGATGATGATGATGATGATGATGATGATGATGATGATGATGATGATGAATGGGAGTGTGAGAGAAGGAGGCGAGGAGGAGATCCTGCGCGGAGGGCGTCCAGAGAAAACAAAAACCCTATGTAGGATGGGGGGAACTAGCACGCGCAATATATACAAACGCACATTTGAATTCATGATGATGCATTCTTGAGCCGGCCGTTAGGCCTCCAACGACGGCCGGAACTTCAAGAGAGTTTCAGGACGGGCTTATGGGGCCAGCGTGAGTACGGTGTCTCGGTCGTGTGGACTCCGGACAGCGGTCCCGAATCTTCTGGCAAAGCCACGCGGCGATTCCCAAGTGCGTTCAGGAATGTCCCACACCCCCACCGTGATTCTGGGGCATGTTGGCATGTTGCGTTTGTTAAGTTTTTCCGCTACACTTTGCTGAGGGACTCCGCGGTGCCAGAAATCACCCTGCTTCCGGCACGGTGGCAGATTGGTGTTCCTCTCAGTTTTTCGCTCGCCGCGAGGCGTTCTTGCGCATCTATGAGACTTCGAGGGGAACGGGGGGCCAGTGGACTGCGACTGCACCCGGGGAGGTCTTGCAGAAATGGAGGAGGGTCGTGGTTGGATTGTATCGAAGGCGAGGGGGTGGTTCCTAGGGGTGTCCGCTCAAGTGAGTTTGGAGAACGTTCCATCCAATGCTCAGTCCCACATCCAGCGCCCACAGGCCCGAAATGCTGGCGTGCTGTCTTGCTGCGCGATGCTGTCTCGACACGACTCTCCGATGCTGGGCCAATGCGCCACAGTAGTGGCCCCGTTTAGTCAGCTCATCCGCCAGCGCAGACGACCCCCGTCTATCAGAGCCCCGAATCATCAGGGGTAACTCGGGTCAGGGCTAACTCGGGTCTAGCTGCCGACGCAAACGAGAGGTGTGGCTTTCTCCCGGGGGTGGCAGCGACGACCATTGTCCCAACAATCAAGTGCTGAAAAAACGCCCCCTACCCTGGTTTACGAGGCGCTGTGCGCTGAAACTCCTGTGGGCTGACGGGGTGAACCCTGCGTGATGTGCGGCGTCCTGGCGTCCTCTGGGCTTCGGGGGTTCCCAGGAGGTTTACAGACCACGCACTTGTAACCCAGGGTAGGGCCGTTTTTTTTCATCCTTCAAATCTCAGAGCGTGAATTACCTACCCCGCTTTCGCTTCCAGGCAAAACCAAGTCATACCACGCGCCTCCTCGTCAAGCGGCCTGACCAGTACAGGCCGTAGTTTGGCATCGTTTGGTATCTCTTGGAAGCGAGGGTGGTCAAAAGCGAGGTAGGTTTGTTTTTCCTTAAAAATCCAGGCAACTTGCGAGTCGTTGATCTGCGCGCAGAGGCACGCGCCTGTCCATGCCCGCGGCGGCCCCCGTCCGCCCGTGGAGCCCCGCGGGCGGCCAGCACGGCGCTGCGGGCCTCCGCTGCACCCGCTCCCTAACTGGTTCTCGATTGTCTCCGAGCTCCAGAACTGGTTGTCTCTGGGGTTCGAAATTCCCATCTAACTTTGGAAATCCCCTACCAAATCCTTTCATAAGTCCTTAAATCCTTAACCAAATCCCTCCCTCATTCGCTTTTCCCTTACTGGATCTCGAGTGTCTCTGAGCTCAGGCGGGTAGGGCCGTTTTTTTCATCCCTCAAAACCAGAGGACCTCCAGACAGAGGCGCGCTCAGGGCAGGCCGCCGCCCGGGCCTCCGCGGTGGCTGGTTGCGGAGGCTACGAGGCTCTCCCCCCAAAATATTCCGTCATTCCCCGTTCCTGGACTCGATTCGATTCGATGTCGGTTCGAGTCGATTCGATTCGATTTCGACGGCTTCCGATCCCGATGCGTCTCGATGTGTGGTTCCGACTTGGGTTCCGATTTCTCGTTGGAGGCAAACTCGCCTCCCGTTGTCGGCCGATTCGACTTTTCCCGGCTGCCGATTACCACCGATCCGAATCATTCGATCGCCGATCCGACTTATCGATTCGATTATGGGCTCTCTTGCCATTCTCGCCAATTTCAAACCCCCTTTCTGGGATCCACGAAGTTCATTCTCGTGGAGGGGGGGGAACGCTCGGCGAGTCATCGGGGGAGAACTCCAGGCTGCACAGGTCGAAATTCTTGATGCTTCGCCTGACCCCACCAGCTTCTCTTATCTGCCGGCGCGGTCCGCCGTAGCACGCTCGGCGTGCGACCCGCTTCGCGCGCCCGCTAACCAAAAAACGTATCCCCCTCAGCCTTACCTCTGGGTCTCGGCGCGCGGGGGGGGGCGCCCTGGCGGCTGGTCGCGTTGCTTGGCCGCGACCTCGCGCATCCCTGCCACGGGCACCGCTGGCCTTCTGCATCTGCGCGAAGGGGTGCCTTCTGCGGCATCTGAAGTCCGTTATCTGCGTGACAGTCTACACCGCCCTGTCGGGCGCACTCCCTCGGGGATGTTCTGGGGCGGCCGTGCTCTCCCCTGGTCCGCTGCTTCACGGAGGTGGTCACTGCCTTCCAGTTCTGCCTGTTCCGTTGCAGGGGTTTCGTGTTCGGTTGGCACCCTTCTGTCGTCACCGCCTTCCTGGGTAAGTGTGGCGCTCCGGTCACCCTGCGCCGCCATCGTGTACGCGGCCTTCCTGGGCACCTTCCTCTCGCTTCTGGTGCCCTTTCGACGCCTTCGCACCATTTTGGTCGCCAGAGTTCCGCCCCGCACCGGGCTTTGCTCGTCGCTGCTTTTCCGCAGCCGGTGGCATAGCCTGTCCCTGCTAACCCGGCGTTCGACCCGTTTCGCGCGCCCGCGTACCAACCACATATTATTGCCAGCCCGTCCAGCAACGATTTCCAGGCAGTTGTTGCCATGATAAGACGCGTGTGGCAATGTGCACTGAAACATTCAACCGCGCACTCTTATGTATCATCTTCTTTGGCGAGTCGACAGGCGACCTGAAGGACGCGTGGGGAACCGAGTCCTACCAGCGTTGGAAGCGCCCATGCAGCAGCACATTCATGTCGTCCAGAAGAGATGCCTCGAGATGTCGTTTGGCAAAATGTTGCTGAGGTTCTTCACCAGCAGCCAGCGAGCCGTCCAGAAACGAGACCAGGCGTGTTGCCGTGATCGACGGCGCGCGCGATCGTGCAGCGGAGCCGCCCCGCGCCCGAAGTGTGGCGACGACGAGGGGGTGCGTGATCTCGCGGATGTCGTGCGAGTTCGGCCCGTTTCGGGGATGCCACCAGGTCCAAGGGCGCGTCAGTCAGTCGGTCTTGTCGTCCTCCTTCTCCCTCCTTTCGGGTCGGACGAAGAGGGGGGCGGCGAACCAGCTCGCGTAATTGGCTGATCGCCCCTGCCCCAGAGGCGCCAGTGCATCGCGGAAGCTTACTGGGCCCTGGAAGCGACAGGGCCGTTTTCTTACCGGTTCCGTTTTGCTGTTTTTTTGCCGGTTCCGACGCCGTTTTTTTACCGGTCCCGTCGCCGTTTGTTTACCGGTTCCGGCTCCAGATCCGATCCTGGAACCTTTTTTTTGTCGTTTCCGGTCGCCGTTGTTTTGCCGTTTCCATTTTCAATGGGCGTTTTTTGGGGAAACGGTGAAAAAACGGCCTTGCCGTTTCCAGGGCCCACAAAGCGCGGAACGCGCTTGGCGGCGGGGCCTAAGCTTGCTCCGTGCAGCTGATTTCGTCCAACCCCCCCTTAGTTCCCCCTGTCGGCTGGGGCGAGGACGCATTCGCTCCAGAGCAGTCTGGAGCGTTTTCGGACCTTCCTGGATCGTTCCGACAGGGCCGCTGCGCCCGAAACATCCTCCAGAACCGCCGGATCTCAGAGATCCTCGCTTCATCCTCGCCCGAATTGATCGTCGTCCTGGTTTCGACTTGCCTTTCGTCCGGCCCGATCCCCCCGCGGGTCGAAGGTACTTTTTGTACGCCGGCTCTCACGCGGTCGATCTGCAGAAGAAAAAGAGGCGCGCCCCGCTCCCAAGGGAATTGCCTTGCAGCGGGCCCTCTGGGACTCTGCGAGGACCGGCTGCGTGGTAGCGGCTTGCGTGGTTCCAGCAGGAGGGTGTGGTCAAGGCACACAGACGAACAAGCAAACAAAGAGTTCCCAGTGCGCTCACACACACACGCGTCCGCATCACACACACACGGGCACACACACACACACACCACACGAACACACACACACACTCACACACACGCACACGCACATACACAACCACACATACACACACGCACCCGCAACACACACAGACACGAACACACACACACACACATACACACACACACGCGCACACACACGCACCACAGGAACACACACACACACACGCACACACACGCGCACACGCACATACACAAACACACACACACACACAAACACATATACACATACACGCGCGCACACGCGCACACGCACATACACAAAAACACACACAAACACATATACACACACGCGCACCCGCAACATACACACACACGAACACACACACACACACACGCGCACATAGACACACACACACGCATACGCACCCCACACACACACACACACACACAAGCACATACACAAACACACACACACACATACACAAACGCACCCGCAACACACACACGAACACACACACACACACACACACGCACACACACACGCACACGCACACGCACACGCACAATCACACACACGCACACAAACACACACACACACCTTGGTGTTAGCGGCCTCGCGTGCGGTGACGAGGCGGCATAAGTTGAAATACAGTGCGTTCGGCGGCTGGGGCTTCAAGCTTCAGAAGGATGACGCACCTGCCGACATCAGTGCACACACACACACACACGCGCGCTCGCACGCACACAGTCTCACACATATACACGCATACTATGCACAAACACGCATATAGTTACGCAGACGACACACACAGACGTACGCACACACGCATACGCACCCACACACACACGCACACACACACACCCACGCACGCACGCACGCACGCACGCACGCACGACCGCACGCACGTTCACACCCAGGAGGAACAACAACACACACAGACACAACTGAGCGTCGATCCCCAGGAACATGTGGGAAGATGGGGGGAAGTGGGGGGGGGAATGCGACGCTCCAGGAATTGTGGAAGAATGCCTTCTTGTGTCCCGGGGGCGCCTTCTCACTCGCACGCACACGCATGCCGGCGACTTCTCACTCTCCCATGCCGCCTTCTCGTTGGGCGACGCAGTTTGGGTCGCAGCACCTCCGCGGCCGGGGCCGTTCCCTCGCGTCGCGCGCAGTTTGTCCCCCGCCCTCGCGTTATGATGTTCCAGCCTATTTTAGCCTTGACCACCAGAAAGAATTTCGAGCACCAAGTCAATACCGAACCTCGAGGGTTTTCACGTGTCGGGCCCTGTTATGACACTCGTCCGACACTGTTTCGACACTCTTGCGACACTCTTCCGGGTGCTGGAAATTATGCCTGGGCTGTGGTCCTTCAGTACGATGGGCACAACATAACCCTCGCGGTTCCCTCCTCTCCTGCTCCTGCTGCTCCTGCTCCTCGTCCTCGTCGTCCTTGTCGCCCTCACCCTCGATTCGTCTTCCGCTGTGGTTGTTGTTTTTTTTCTGGAGGGCCCCGGTTGCCGGATCCTCCAGGGCATCCCCTCGCACTCCGCCCTTCCTACGGTAGAGGGAAACAATTATTGAATTCTCCCCCTCCCCCTCAAAGTCGATGTTGGCACGCGCGGGGGAGACTGCGGTCGAAGCGCATCTTATCAGACCCACCGCCAACTTTGAGCATTGGGGGGAGGGGGAGGCGTTGACAGATGACTTTGGCATGAGGCTTCGCTAATCTGTTCCGAGGCCTGTATTTCTACCGCCTGACCATCGAGAAGGGTACTCCAAACTTTGTGAGAAAAGGGAGGGGTCACAACCCTCCCAGGCGAGTATTCTTAGACCACCCCCAGACCAGCCACGAAAGGGGCGGCCTTCTGCCCCCCCCCTGCTACCCTCCAAGACAGCTCCAGTCAGACCCCCCAAATCAGACCACGTCCATTCTAGGATGAAATCTGGCGTCGACAAACAGTACAGCTGAACCCTCCAAGCTGAAGTCCCAGCCAAATTTCTCAGCAGCCCAGATAGGTCTGTAGGCCCTGGGGAGGGCCGCTGTTCCATCACTCTGGCCGCCTGCGGGTCCGGGGCGTTGCCTTGCGGCTGGTGTCCCCGCGCGGGCCCGTCTGCTGGCCATCCCCAGATGGGCCAGGTGACTTGGCATCGCTTGGACGTGTGCATGCCTCTCGGCGTGGACCATCGAGTAGCATCATGGGTCATCTGGCGCAACAAAGCAGGACCGCACGAAGCCGACAAATGCAAGGGAAATGAACGTCGATGGCAGGGGGAGCGCGAGGGGCGGAACGAAAGAGACAAAGGTTCCTCGCCCTCCCCTCCCGTGTGGCCTCTGAAGGAGAAGGGCTTCTTCGGGCGAGCGTCCACTTTGCTGGCTGGCACCGCCTTCATCCGCCAGGGCTGCGCCAGATCCATCGCCCAATCCCTCTCAGCCTCCCGTCTTTCACTCCCCATGCCCCCTGATTTCGGATCGTCGCTTCCCTGCATCGTGCCGCTTGCCCTCCCGCTCCTCCAGCTCGCTCTTCCCCCCTCCTCTCCCCATCTCCCCTCCTTTCAAAGTCTTCCCCCTCCCTCGTCCCACCTTTTCCCGAATATGTCTGCCCTCCGAGTACGCTTCTTGGCCCGTCCAGGGTGCGCTCCGGCCACAGCGGGATGCCTATCCGGCCGCGGTGACGAGACGTTGCATGAGGCCCAGAAGTTTTGATTTCCCGCCTCGTCCTTTCGTGTCTCTCCCTCCCCCCCCTGTTCGCCCCCGCGGCCTCACTAGCGGGACCTAACCCTCCATTGTTGCCCCCCCCTCCTTCCTTCTTCCTCTTCCTTTCCTTCCCGCCTCCATCTCCCTCGTCTCCCAAGGGTATCTTTGCATCCTTGCCTCCTCGGCCCGTCCTTAGCGACTTTCGCTGGCCAACCTCGTTCGAAAAACGTTGACATGGGCCTCCAAAGCCCTTGCATCCTCATCGTGCATCCTTATGCTGCGGGTTGACTATACGTCCAACAGCTCCCGAAGACACCATCCCTAAAATTTCGATGCTGGGTCCTCCTTCCCCCCCCCCTGGCCTCCGGCGCCCCGCCTCGACGCGGAATCTCACAATTCGACGGAGCGTGTCCAAGCTCAGGAGGGAAAAAACAGACAGACACCATGAATCGTCGATTCCCCAGAAAAGTGTAGGGAAGATATAGGGTGTGGGGGGGGAAGACAAAAACCAAGAACGAATGTGAAACTATGGGGAATCCTGTTATTTATGTTTGTTTATTATCTTGCACAGGGTGTCTAGAGCTCCGACCACTTTATTCCGCGTCGCACCCCCCCCCGCTTCCCCAGCGCCAGAGTGGAACCTCCGCGCCGTGGCTCTTTGCCCCGAGCCCCCTCGCGTCCCCAGCGCCCCAGCGGGAGCCCCGCCCATGCCACTGCCCTCTTCGCCACGAACGCTTTATTCCGCGTCGCACCCCCCCCTCCCCCCCCCCCCGCGTCCCCAGCGCCAGAGTGGGACCCCCGCGCCGTGGCTCTCTGCCCCGAGCCCCCCGCGTCCCCAGCGCCCCAGCGGGAGCCCCGCCCACTGCCCCTCCGCCAAGAACGCTATATTTCAGGAGGGAAAGAAACACACAGACACAATTAATCGTCGACTCCCAGGAAAATATGGGAAAATATGGGAAGTGGGGGGGAAGACGAAAACCTAGAAAATATGGGAAAATATGGGGAATATTTTTATTTGTGTGTATTTATTTGTGTGTCCTGGGGCCCCTTCAATATTCCGCGTCGCGACGCACACCACCTCCCGCACCTCCCTCCCCGCGCCCCCAGGGCCACAGTGGGACCTCCGCCCCGTGCCCCCTCCGCTCCGAGCACTTGATCCAGACTCGCGACGCACACCACCTCCCCCCCCCCTCCCCACCTGGGATTCGGGCCCCGTTGCTGGGCCCCGAGGGGCGATGTCTTGCCCCCTCTTCGCCCCTCCTCCACCTCCTCCTCCTGCCCCTTCCTTTTGGTGCAGGAGCCGTGGCACACGTGCCACTCGTTTGTGTGTCCCAGGGCCCCTTTTCTCAGAGCGTGAATTAGCTACCCCGCTTTCGCTTCCAGGAAAAACCAAGTCATACCACGCCCTCGTCAAGCGTCCTGACCAGTACAGGCCGTAGTTTGGCATCGCTTGGTATCTCTTGGAAGCGAGGGTGGTCAAAAGCGAGGTAGGTTTGCTTTCCCCCTATGTTCACAAGCGCCTCTCGATCCTCGAGCCTCGAGCTTGGACCTCCGCCGCCATGTCGCGATGCGTCTCGCCTGCAGACCCCGGAGGTCTCGCCCCGCCCTGCGGCGGCGAGGCCGGAGGGGAAGTCAGAGGGCGAGGCCTGCTCGGAAGGACGACGACGCCCGACGCCCGACGACGACGACGACGACGACGCCCGACGACCCCCGACGACGCCCGCCGACGACGCCCGCCGACGACGCCCGAGGGGTCTGGCATCGCCTTCATCCGGGAAGGCTTAGAACACATTTCGGAAGGCCAGGGGGGACTCCGAGCCTTCTGAGAAGGCCCGCCCCCCTCTCATTTCCCCTCTGGGCTCGCCGCCGATTCTCAGAAGGCGGCGGGGTTTCTTGAAAGCTCTCTGGTCTTCTGATAAGTTTCCTGTATCATCGGGGAAGGGGAAGGCTTGACATCCTTCTCAGAAGGCCAGGGGGATTCCGAGCCTTTTGGGAAGGCCCGTCCCATCTCACTTTCTCTCCCCGGTGCTGGTCGTCGATCCTTGGTTCAGCTTTTCGTTGGGGTCCATTTCTGATGGCCCTGGGGCCCGAAACCGCCTTCGACGCCGAAATCCAACAGAATGCCGGGATGGGAAAAGCACAATGTAGGAGGTTGGGAATCGTGCCTTTCCCCCCTTCCCCCCTTGGCCTCTCTGAGTTTACCCGCCCGCTTGAAGCGTACATCGCGTGCCCAGCGCTGTCACCAGGGAGTTCCGCCGCGTGACCAACGCTGCCCACTGCCAGGAAGCTCACTCTGGGCGTGCCCGCTCGCTCTTGGCGCGCGCCGCGTGGCCAGCGCGTTTGCGTCCCCCGGTCCCTCCCCGAGGTGGAGGATCAGTAAGGAGCAAGAGTCGGCCGCGCGCACAGGGGGAGGGGGGAAGGCTTCTTGGAAGGAGGCCTTGTCTTCACATGTAGGGCCGGCGCCTTCTGAGAAGCAGCCTCCTCCCAAGAAGCCTTGCCTCCTCCCCCGACAGTGCCCTCCTGTGCGCGCCGCCAAATGAGCAAGCAGGGGGGGGCGTGGTGGAGGAGGAGGGAGAAGGGGGAGGATCAAGAGGGAAGAAGGATACCACGCTTCGGGATTGTGGGATCGAGGGCCTTGTAGTCATAGTCGTTACAGTAACGCCCTGGCCTGGTCCAGTGCGTGTCCTGACAGCGCCTGTGTACAGCACCTGACAGTTACAGCACCTGACAATTACGGCCCCCAATTTGCCTGCCACAGTTACAGCACCTGACAGCGCCTGTGTACACCACACCGCCTATGTACACAGCAGCCGCGTACAACACAGTGCCAGCGTGTGTGTCTGTGTGTGTGCGTGTGCCACAGTGCCTGCGGGCACCCCAGCGCTTGCGTACACCACAGTGCTTGCGTACACCACATCAGCCGTGCGCAACACAGCACCAGTGTACACCACAATGCCTGCGTGTACTACAGCGCCTGTGTACTCCGCGGCGCTTGTGTGCACCACAACAACCGTGCCCAACAGAACACCACCGTTGCAGCTATAATGTTTGAAGGCATGTTCATGAGAAGTTGGAGCGCCTGAGGGGTCCACAGCAAACGATTGTTTTATACAGCATTTTGCGGACTTGGAAATGAGTTCTCATGGAAAAAGGAGCGCCGCTGAAATCTACGAGTCTTCCTCCCGCATCAACCGAACTCCTCGCGTCCAGGAGACTCCAGCAGAATTGGGCGTCCGAGAACCAAGTGGTGTGATCCAACATACCATTTTGCGGTGCACGCTGAGATGCGCACGTGCGCTGTAGCGCCGACCCGCACGACAGGGGGAGGAGAAGGGAGGAAGGAAGAACGCTGCTTTCTATTACCAGTACTGCCCTAGCGTTGTGTTGCTTTACGGTGTAAGCAGGCGCTGCGGTGTACATTGGCGTCGTGGTTCATTCAGTTGTCGTTTCAGCAGCAGCTGTGGTGTACACAGGCATAGTGGGTGTACGCAAGCATCGAGGTGTACACATCACAAGCCCTGCGGGGTACCCAGTTGCCATGATGTGCACAACCGCTGTCGTGCGCAAGGTCGCTATCATGTAAGCGTGCGTTGTGGGTTATGGTGTACCCACGCATTTATTCCTATGTGTTCCTCCTCCTCCATCTTCATGTTCGTCCTCCTCGTCGTCGTCCTTTTTGCGCATACAGGACGTGGGCACTGTGGTGATCACAAGCATTGTGGTGCGCACAAGCCTGCTGGTGCGCACAGGCGTTGTGTTTCACAATCGCTGTGAGCTCAAACTGTCCGAGCGTTTTTCGGGCCAGAAAAGCAAGTCATCACAATCGTTTCCCGAGCTTTGGTTCCGTCGGGGTCGTAGACGTTACTTGCTGTTTGATGATGGCGTGCCTCTTGACAGTGCTCACGAAAAATCGCGCGGGCCCAGAGGTGTCGACCCCATCGCGGGGTTCCTTTGACTTTTCCGGCTCCTCCTGCTGGTGTTGTTGTTCCTCTTGCTTCTCCTGCGTGTAGTCCCTTCGGAGGACGCCAGTACGCGCGCCCCCTCAGCCGTTTGGTGTTCACGGGCGCCGTGGTGCGCGCAGTTGCCATGATGTGCACAGTCGCTATGGCGTACAAAGGCGTTGCGGGCCCAGCATGCCCGAGCTTTCTTTTGGCCTGAGATACGAATCAGCAACAAGAACGCACATATGGCATTGTATTCGTTTGGCCCCCCAATGATGTTCCGGAGTTTGGTTCCGTCGGTGCATTCAGGTGTGCACATGCTTTGTTGTGAACGCGTGCACTGTGGTGTACAGGGGTGCTGAAACAGCACCTGTGGTGCACACGGGCGCCGTGGTGTACACAAAGTGTGTGATGTACAAGGCGCTGTGCTGCACACGGTTGTTATGGTGTATACACCCGCCGTGGTGCACACACACACACACACATACCATTTGTGCAGCACTTCTAGTGCACGAGAGCATTGTGGTGTACAGAGCCCGCGTTGTGTACAGGTACTGTGACTGTGAGCTTGGACGACGACGACGACGACGAAGACGACGACGACGACGACGACGACGACAACGTAGGCGGTGCGCTTCTGGGGGTGCGCGCCGCGGCCCTGGGCATTGTTACCATCACCCGTCCCCTGGGCCCCTCCGTTCCACCCGGGTAACAGGTGTTACCCCCCAGGAATGAAAAAATGGTCTCGCTCCTGGAGGGAGGGGCGGGAGGGAGGAGGCGGAGCAGGAGGGAGTAGGGAAAAGGGGGATGAGGCGGAGGAGGAGGAGGGACCAGGGCAACCCCCAAGGTTCACAGATGATGCTGCAACACGCCCTCTCGTCTCGAATGCCCTCCTCACGAGGCCGTGCGAGCCTTCTTTTTCCACTGCAAGGGGCGCCCCCTTGAGAGACCAGCACCTGATGGGCGTACTATTATTTCGGGCATGTCCTTGTACAGGAGGTACGTTCGAAAGTAGCTAAACTAATCGCCTGGGGACGATTTGTCGTTGATCAGTTGCGTACTTTTGAACATTTGGGGCGATTTGGAAGTTTCTTTTTGCGAAGACGCCTGTAGGAAGACGTGCCCGACCTAAGTCTACCGTTCGGGCGACAGTCCCGTTTTCATACGGATCTGCTTGTGCATCGTGCCAGCGAGTACGAAGGAGCGCGTCTGCTCGAACAGTGCGACGAGGCATTTCGCGAAACCGTTGTTGCACTACGAGAATGCAGCGTCGGTGCTGGTGCTGTAGACATTCGCGGGTCGGGTCGTGGCACCCGAGGAGGTCTCGAGCGAGCGAGACCGTTTTTGCAACAAGGGGATGCCGCGTCGGTGCTGGTGCTGCAGACACTCGCGGGTCGGGTCGTGACGCCCGAGGAGGTCTCGAGCGAGAGCCCCCTCTTGAAGAGAGGAGCCGCCCTCCACCCGTGGAGCTGCCACGTATATTGTGTGTGCAGGCCTCTGCTCTGCCTTTTGCCGTGGAGGAGGCCCGACGCGAGCGCCCCATGTTGAAAACGGCGCCGTTTTTTTTTTTTTTTTTTTTTTTTTTTTTTTTTTTTTTTTTTTTTTTTTTTTTTTTTGAAAATGTGTGCACTGTACACCTTAGGCGATGCTTAAGACAACCTCAGTTTTCGGCCAGAGTCTCGATGATTCTTAACGTTTCAATGTAAATCCTAAGATTTGAATGGAAATTTTGGCTTTTTATTCAAGTTCTGAGACTATGAATTTCTTAACCCATGATTTCTAAAGCATTTCGCAGGGTGTACAGTCGGGGCCCTGAAGAGGGGACCCTTTTTGTTGGGGAGGGGCTCCGTGTTCCTCCGTTGCTTTGCAGTGCTCCCTGGGTTTTCCTGGGGTTTTCCATGGAACATCGGAGTGCACTGTATGGGGAAAGAGGGGCCTCGTTCCTTATTTCTCGTTCCTTAGGTCAACGCCCCGACTGTAAGTGTTGCACTCTTCTGAGACGGAAGGGCGTGGCGCTTAGGCGAGAGCCCCATTGTAGAACGGTGCCGTCCTGGATCTCTGTACAGGTTTCCAGTTTTATCAAGAATGTGCGCGGCGCTGAGGCGAGGGCCCCATTTTGAAAGCCACACCCTCCGTGTTTGCAGCTGCTCCAAATTCCAAGCTTCAGGATCACAAGGTGTGAGCAAGGCGCGGTTGGCAAGCTAGGTCCAGTCTGCCAACGCTTCCTGAGGTGCGGCCAGGTACCCGGAGTAGACGTGGACCCGACGCGGATTCGACATGGATTCCAGGAGGATCCGGCATGCATTCGACATGGACTCAGCGCAGACGGGGACTTGTGGGACAGACGTGGCCTCTGAAGATGCAACCTGGACCATCCGTGTGGCCGGGGAAAGCTTTCGAAGCGAAGAGGAAATAGAAGTGTGATGGAGGGTGTGTGTAAAACGACGCGAAGATCGGGACAAAATCGGATCGGGATAACTCGAAATCTCTGAGAATCCGCGGGTTTGGAGGATGTATTGGGCGCCGCGGCCGCTCCAGAGCGTTCCGGAACGCTCTGAAAGCGCTCCGGAACGCTCTGGAGCGATTTATCCCGATCCTAGCCCTGTTTTAAGGACACTCGTCGACCAACGCAACACAAACAACACCACCCCAACTACGGCCCTCAGTGTTGCGCTGTGGCCCATCGGGCGCCGTGGCGTACAACACGCCAAAAAGGCCCGAGCCGGAATGCATGGAATACGCTGAGGCCCGTGGGGCCGTGTGTGGGGCGGTGTCGTCCGTTTTCTGCTCCCACTGGTGGAGGAGGGGGGATGACGGGAGGGAGGAGGGAGGAGGAGCAGAGGCGGGCAGGAGGAGCAGAGGAGAGAGGCAGGCGCCGGGGTGGAGGGAGGAGCCCTGCTCTCTGCGGCCCTTCGCCGAAAGCGGCGGGGGGCCCCGCGACACCGGGGGGGAGGCTGGAGACCAACGCGCAGCACTGCGCCATCCGCCAGGCAGAGCGACCACCGCCGCCGCGCAAGCGGAGTGAAGAGGAGGAGGAGCAGGAGTGAAGAGGAGGAGGAGGAGGAGGAGGAGGAGGAGGAGGAGGAGGAGGAGGAGGAGGAGGAGTAGGAGGAGGAGGCGGAGGCGGAGGAGACGGAGGAGGAGGAGGAGGAGGAGGAGAAGGAGGAGGAGGA